CAAAAAAAAAAAAAAAAAAAAGACAAAAAAAAAAAAACAGGTTAGGTTCCAAAATGCATATATTTGTAAGCCCAAGTGTCTCAAACTTCAGGATGGCACTGAGCAAATGACGGCTAGTACCACCTGTCCACAGTTAGCACAGCAGACACATGTTCTGGGAGCAACTTTGCTCACATCTCTGAAAGTTCAAGAGTTGACAGCTCATACTTCAAATGCCTTTGGAGGCTCCCTGAGAAGATCCCGCTCTTTCTCACACTCAGATCTTCTTGAGATCTGTCCCCCCTCCCACCCAGCTAATTCTTATTCCTCTGATTTAAGCAAGGAGCCACCCTTTCTAGAAATTTTCCTGAACCCCTATCATTCACTTATTCACTCACCATTTGAGGCCCTGGGCTAGATCCTGGGGACAGGGAAAAACAGTCTTCTCTTCAAAGGGCTTCTAAGCTAACTGGGCTGTGCTTTCTCAGGATTGAAAGCCAGAATTTAGGGAGTCTGAATCTGCAGACTAAAGGCTCCAGCCCTCTTCTTGAGTCAGAGGAGCAGAGATCAGGAGATGGGCTCAGGATCTATGGTCTACATAGGACTTGCCGTCTGTCTACACTCCAGTCTTCTCAGATTTAAGATGAAAGTGGATAGAACATGATCTGAGGATCCCGTCAGCTCTGAAATCCTAGGATTCCCATGCAACATGAAAGTATTTTTGAGTGTAAAGATTCACGTTCCAACAGTGGTATGTTCTTTAAAATAAAACCTGTGTCAAATTTATCAGTTTTTTTGACAAGCCTTTGATGTTCTCAGAGAATGACAATGTTACACTGTATCTAATGTTTGTATAGCACTTTTACACCTACAAACAAGTTTTGGTATCTCCATTTTATTTTCCCAACACTGTGAGTTAAATAGAGCTATCTGAGCTATTATCCTTCTTAGATGAAAAGACTTCAGTCCAGAGAGCCTATGCTCATGGCTTCAGATCACATAACAAGATAGTGCCGAGATAAACACCCACCTCGGGATTCTCATTACATTGGTATCCTTCAGGCAACAAAGAACATGTTGACCTGGAAGGGGTCTTCCTACACTCCATGGTAGTCAGGTCTCTATTTTATGTCTAATTTTGAGACTCTGTTGCTCAACAGAGACAGGATAAAGAA